CTGGTGCAGCACTGTTGCACTGGTGCAGCACTGCAAAGCTGATTGAAGATAATTTTGAAACTGGCCCAATAACTGATGCACTGGCCAACTCAGAGCTGTCTTTAGCCTTGAATTTACATGCAGAGAAAAGTTACTGCCAGAAATCTGGTTTGGGTTTTCTGTTGTGGGGGGTTTTTTGGTTTTTTTTTTTATTATTTAAACTTTCTACCAAACATCAAGCTGGCCCTGTCTGTACTACTGATAAAACATTTGGGAACTATATCAAAGTTCTTCAGTTTTGGTTGCAGCAATGATTGATGGGATTTTAATCCTGTTGGCATTTGCATCAGGTAGGAAGTGGGGAAAGCCCTTAAAATGCTCAATTGGCTTTAATACCCTTAACATCTGTTGAAGTTTTTATTCTAGTTATATATGTTCTCTGGCTGATTTCAGTGCTACAGGAATTCTTAATGCTTCATCTTTACTCTCCCCAGCAGCTGTCATTGGGCATTGCCTCTGAGAGTTGGAGGCTCACAGAGATGACTGAGCCAGGTGCATAAATATTATTTTATACTTATGTACAATGCATTATATTGAAAACATATTCTGCGTTTTCATAACTTGGAGCAGAGATTTTGGAAAGTATCGTCTGTTGGATGCCATGTATGTATTTTTCTATCTAGATTTAAAAAGTAACTATTACACAGGTAGATTCCGTGTGTGTGGTCAGTATTTTGGAAGCCCAGTTGCCCTGTCAACCAACTGATACCCACTCAATTAACCCAACAGAATTACCAGACCCATCTCATTCCGTCGTATTTATCTCTAGCGGGATTGACACGTAACCTGAAGATTAAATGCTGCTTTTCTTTAGTGAGGAGTGAAAAGTCTGGGTTTTAAAGCAACAGTGCGGCTTGACTTTTTAGGATTTTTGTAAGTCGATGTGATGTTTAAGGAAAAAATGTATTTCAGAATATTGTTTTGAGGTTCTGAGGTCAATAAAGAGCAATGCAAGAAGTGTTTTTATAGTCTAGTCTTATTACTAATGTCCACTGAAATTTTCTCCTAAGCATACACTCAGTTCATGTATTGGTTATGAGCCTGATTTAGACCATCAGCTCTGCTCTGCAATCACTTCAGAAAATGTTGCACTTGCTTTTATTAAATATAAATAGGAACCCTTATGTCTGTTATAATCAGCTGAAACAAGAGCATGCTTGAAACTGTAGGGCTCTTAGCATGAAAATTTCACCAGTCTTAGATGACAGAACCAGAGACAACACTTTTTCTTGTTTTCACATACCCCATGTAAGTAAAAGAAGTCAAGATATCTTTCCTTTACTGTCTTAGCACGTCATAATAGAATGGAATTGGTGAAAACAGTGACTAATGTGTGTTATTTAACAAAGCTAGAATTCTGCCTGGCATTTTTTCCGAATCCCAAAATGCAGTGCCTCTGTTTCATAACCACCAAGGGAACATGGAACAGCACACCAGTTAAAACTATCCACCAAATACTGCATTTTATCTTCTCATTCGTGTATGCTTACTTCACAGGGTCCTTATTCTGAGAATCACGATGTTTACTTTAAAGATAGGGCATTTTTTTACACCATTGTAGATTGATCTATTCATAGATTTTGATTGCAGACGAGTTCACTAACTTGATGTCCTGTAAAAACAAGCAAAAAAAAAATCACACCAGGTGTTTTAAAATGAAACCTACCCCTCCAGGACAAACCAAAATACTCATTGTACAGCATTACCTCTACGACCTGCTTTCCCAGGTTCATGTTGCTTTTTGAGACTGGGTTTCATTATCTCCCTCTCCGTTTTCTTTCAAGGAAAGCAAGCAGGTTTTTGTCCTGGCTGGGAAGGTGTGTTCATCTTTCATCTCTGCCTGAAGGGATTAAAATTTACATCTTGTAAATCCCAGAAGAATGCTTTCTTCACCATCCTGGATGCTCAGTGTTGACAAGAGTCAGGCGCTTCCTGGTATCCAGGGATGAAGTCCAAGAACCTGTGAGTGGTCATGGCAAACAGTGCACCTACTCACTTTAGAAGCCTCAGGAGTCAGACTGGGGGTGGGTGGAAGTCTCGGGAATCACAGTTTTGGCAATACATATGCGGAATAGGAGCTTGGTAGCATTTAGGTGGTTAGCATCTAGGTGGCTAGCTTAGATGGAGCCCTAAGAAAATGTACTTAAGAAAATGTAACCTGTTGGAACATTAGATTATCATCCTAAATTTATCAGTGTGAATTTCAGTTAACTCCACTGAAGTTATGGGAGCTCTTACATATCTTTGTATAATTCAGTGTAAACACATCAGAACAGACCCTTGCCTCAGCTTCTGCATGCATAAAAAGGCAACAGACTGTTTATCTACCTCATATCTCAGTTAGTATTTCCATTGTACTTTGAGTCTACATCTACATTAGTAAATTTAAAGGGAATATTCCTCAGCACTGGAAAGAAATTGTCTACAATGTTAATTTGTCCTTGGTGTGTCTTTGGCCCAGGCCAGCTATCCCATTCCCAGATTCACGGTGGAGCTACATCATAAGAGGGATTAACGCAGCTTCTGATAATGTCCAGTCTCTTCAAAAGGAAGAAACCTGCGTTAGCCGCATCATTCAACAATGCGCAGGTTGTTCCATGCCAGCTGGTCTCCGTGCCAGACATGAGAGACATGTCTGGGTGCTTCTAACTTACTAGGAAAGACACAGCCCGACATTCCTGAGTTGAACTGGTGTGCACTGGAAACACAGGCTGCTCCTTCCTTACGGGATGGTGACCAAAACTGACACGGACACTGTAAGCTAGGGGAGAATCCATCCAGGTGCTTAGCTGACTTCCCAAACACCTCCTTCAGTTCTGCAGCTGTAGCTACCTTTTTCCAAAGAGATTACTTTGGATGAGGACTGCTTGATATGTAATCGGAGAAACAAAACAGCGGGCTGTATACTACCTCGTTCGTTTTGCACCTTCCCTATCTCCATGAGGTGACCCTACTGTGTCAATATTTGGTATGACTCACTTGCAAACACAGCCATACCAAGTTATGTCGTGCAAAGGGCCGTTCCTTCCCACTGTTGAACGGGTCGCTCAATTTATTTTTTCCTCCCTGAATCCTAAGGTGACTGGAAACAAACCACGGAGCCAAAGAGGAGGTAGGGTTCTGGACTCCTGACAAAGCCTTCTTGCTCAGTCTTGCCTCCGGATGTCTGTCTTCATCATGTGGTGTACTCCTCCCCCTTCCTTTTTTTTAGTAACTTCATTGTGAGAGCACGGGCTAAGGTTTGTGTAGCAACAGACGCGCACGTGCCATTTAAATGTTGTTCAGAAAGGAGAGAGAGATCGGCTAATCTGGGTAAAAATAACACAGCTGGGGACCGCGGTGGCGTGAGACGCAGAGGCAGCGCCGCGGAGCCGCGCGGCACCTCGACGAAGCCCCCCCGGCGCCCCTCCCCCCGCCCGCTCTCCTCACGCCGGCCACCGGCGGCTCCTC